ACAGGTCAGAGAAAGAGGAAGACCTTCAACATGATGGACAGACACAGTGGCTGTAATAGTGGGCTTGAGCATATTAAAGACTGTTAGGATGGTACAGGACAGGACAAGATTCAGACCTGCTCTGTATAGAATCCCTATGAGTGATAGTGAACTTGAAGGTGCATATCAACAACAACAAACAAATTGTGGAAGAGGCGATTGCCCATCTTTGTCCCTCACAGATGCAGGTGGATTTGAACCACCAGAGAGGCATGACCTTTGTGTTAGCAGCATAACTCCCTATGGACTACATCACCAGAGCTCCCTTAACAGACTGCGGTAGGGTGTAAAGATAATGGATTTGCACTGGAAAGTCCAAAATCCATGTGATTTGCACTGCCCCCCCCCAAAAATCTTATGTATCTTTTAATACTGTACTTCTCCTATATCTATGACAAAATTTATATTTAGAAACAACATAATATTTACAACAAAATAATGTGTGGAAAATTTATCTAAAGTTATATTCCAACAAAAGTCAGTAAAAAATTAAAGTGTATTGTTATTTTGAACATTTCCCCCAGAATCAACAAAGGGAGCCCTGATAGGCTAGTGTGTAAATAATTAAGTTGCCAATGCAAAGGCAAGCATTCTGAATCCACCAGCTGCTCTGTGGGACAAAGATGGCCAGTCTCCTCCTGTGGGATTTATAGCCTCTGAAAATCCGTGGAGACTGCTATGAGTTTATTCTGACTCTATGGTTATGAATGTTTTGAGTATCAACAAAGGGAATGTGATCTTGACTAGTACTGGGATTAAGATCTACTGCCGTATCAGTGGCATTCAAATCTTGCCATTGCATACTTTTCAGATATGCATTTCTACTAGAAATATCTGGAAAGTATGCAATGGACCGCCAAGAAAACAACTAAGTCTGTCCTGGAGAGGGTTAAATCAAGTTTCTTCTTGAAGGCTATGATTTTGAAGCTCCGTCTCACTTACTTTGGGCATGTGCCCAGCAGAGACTGGTCCTTGGAGGATATCATGCTTGGAAGGCTGGACGGATGGTGCAGGAGAGGAAGACCCCAGATGAGATGGACCGATACAGTGACTGGGGCAATGGGGGTTGCTGTGTTAGAATTAGTGAGACTGACTCAGGACAGGGAAGAGTTCAGAGCTGCTGTATATAGGGTTGCTATGGGTAGCAGGTGACTTGACGGCACATAACAACAGCAACTATGATTATACATAGAATTGAACTAGTTTTACTAATTCTTCAGCATGAGATCTTAAGTTTCTTTTTGGTTTTTGTTTGTTTGTTTGTTTGCTTTAATCTTTATCTTCAAAGTCAGACTCTTGCAAGACCAACAGTCTTCAGGTTGGTGTCAACCATCCCTTTAAAGCCATTGAATTGAGCCACAAAGTGCTGAATTCTCCCTTTCTCTCATTGCCATGGAGTTGGAAACAACTCATAGCTGACCCTGCAGTGAGTTTTCTGAGGCTGTAAATTGCATGAGAGGACATTGTCCATCTTTCTCTGGTGGAACCACTGATAGATTAAAAACTACAGACAGATATTATTTTGGATTTGTAGCACAGGTCTCTATAGACTACACCACCAGTTGTTGTTGTTGTTATGTGCCGTCGAGTCGCTTGCGACTCATAGCGACCCTATGTACAACAGCCCTAAACCCTGCTCTATCCTGTGCCAATC